TTTCGCGAATTTGAGGAAATGCTTTTGGTTTTGTATTATGTCGATCATGCCGCAGAGTTGCGGTTCGATGCCCAAGAATCTGTCCAGCAAATTGGTGGTCACTGGCTCCTCAGATTCGTCTTTCATCGTAGCGGTTGTACATTCTCGCTTCGGACCTGACAATTTAATGTACTGATTGGAGTGGCACATCAGGATAGACGATCTCAGAAAGCAGCCAAATCGAATATTTTTAATTCGCCGATCTGATTTGAAAATACACTGTTATGTATCGAAGGAACAATGATAACTCAATCCCTTGAGTTAAATAGAATTTTGTTATTTTTAATTCCCTTGTGTGTCAAAATGTAAATTAATCCATTTTTATAATTAATTTCAAAGTAAATGTCTACATTAACGTACGTACTTAGTAAATAATAAATTTTTGAATTTAATACATTTTCTTGAGTTAAATTGATTAACTCCATTGTTTTAGTTAAATTAATGATATATTGAGTAGACGAGTAAAGTAACTATCTGTAAAAGTAATAAAAATAATTCAAATTGAGTATAATTTGACATTATAAATTTCACAGTGTGGAATGTTTCATGCTATTTAATAAAAGACAAGTTCTGTCCAACTAAATGAAGTGTCATAATTGGTACTCTTCTTAATAATTCTGAATAATAACGTGTGTGAACATCGTGGAAATATTCTTTAAATTCTTATTGTTAATTAACAAGGAAAAATATTATTAATTAACAAAATTAATTAACAATATGAATTTCAACGAGAGTACGTGATGTTTAATGAATTAAAAAACGATGAGTTTATATAACTCCTCTAGAAGAATTGACAATATGCACAAAGAAAACAGATAGCGGTTACAAACCAAGTCGGTATTTTTTCAGAGATACAGAGAAAATCTTTCGACAAAGATTTATTAGAGTCCTGACAACGGATAGTAGTATCGATTGTGTACTTGCAATATCTGCTGTGGTATTGTTACCTATAGAAGTAATAACACTCTGCGTATTCCTGTGAGAATGTCACTATCTGTTTAGAAAAAGATAGTTTGATTCACATCGCTTTCTCTCTCTTTAAAGTATCAGTTGAAAAGAGACGCTGATGCAATTCAATTATATTACGGTCTCTTTTCAACGGAGCACAAATGCTAAAAGATAAAAATATGCGCAGTTCATATGTACTTATTACGTTACGGTTTGCTTTTTCCTTTTCTAATATGTTTACGTTACAGAAAAATACGCAAATATGTTACAAGACATGTGTTACAAAAATTTAGAAGAGCTTTTATTTGTACAAAAAAGAATGAATTGAAAATTTTCGTATTCTATACCATATTTCAATAATTAATATTATTGTTATTAAAATCGAAAGGTAATAATTGAAATAATACGAAATTTGTACATGGTCGATCAAGTTATCTGTGAATTAAATTGCCTCGAAATACGATATATACCTAGTTTCGTTTTAATAAATTATAATTCGATACATAAAGCTATATATCGTATTTTGAATCTGATATAATACAGATGAATTGTTTAAAAGCATTAAATTTGCCGATATTGGCAAATTTAATTAATAATCTCGCAACCGAGATCATTCTAATTACACGTAACAACGTATCTTGCAGCAACGTACTAATATTTGAAATTCAGCATAAGCTTATTCGCTTTGATATTAATCCGTGTTAACTCTTTTGTCGCTGTACGTGATTATAGTTAACTAACGCATTTGCAACTTTCACGCATGAACATGATTAAAACTTCGTGTGGTTTACTAAATGTTATGACAGAATTAAAGGAAGGACATGTTCAACATTTAATTAATACTCACCATAAATGACCTCTTTATCTCTCGTTTGAGCAACGGGGGTAAGTCTGCTCATCTCACCCAAGTAAAAAGGGCAAATCAATCATAGTGAAGTTGCTTTTAGTTGGACACCCTTAGTAATCGCGAGAATGTCTGTGGAGACAGATGAGTTTGAACGGAAGTACGTCAGATTATGAAAAGGGCAAGCTAACTGAGAATACTCTGGAGGAGACATATACGAAGATTTATAACGTGATGAAGAAAGTAGGCTTCCTCTCCAATATGAAAGCTGCAAATAATATACGAAAAATTGCGAAGCGGATTACATACTTAATACTAATAAATTATGATTGAGTCAGGAATTTCACAAATTTGCTATTAACTCTGGTGCTGACATCAAAATCTGTAACAGTTATTGACACTAGACCTGTCACTGCGAGACCTATTTGTATGTATATACTAATTAAAAGGTATCAATATTAATTTTAAGAAATCGAAATGATATAAAAAATCATATAAAAAAAGAATAAATACTAAATTTATTTTTAATCCAAATGTGCAAATGTAATATAAAAAAATTGAATTATTTTTATACAAAATTACTACAATAATAGATAAGAATTAAGATCTGATTGTATTTTCAAATATAATAATGTATTTTTTATTCGTTACTTTACGGAGAAAGTTGAATTGTTTTTACTTATCAGAATTTTTGTTATCCAAACAACCACTGCATAGGAAGTCAAATAGACCCTCGTCACCTCTGGAGTTAAAAAAGAATCCTCAATAATTCCACTTTACTTGTGTAGAGTGTTCAAGTCACTGGCCTTATAAATTCATTAAATATGTATAAATAATGCTATCTATACATTATTATATTTAACGTAAATTGTTTTATCATTTAAAAACTTTTGCATTTATCTTTATTTAAAGGATGTAAATATAGAATATTATCAATCTTTATTTAATTGTAAATCATCAAAGTTAATAATAAAAGTTAAAATATAATATTATAGGATGTCAGAAATATAACTCGCGAGTAATGAAATGATTTATAAAAACATAAATAATTTTGATAATACAACAATAAGAAATATAAGTACTGGCCGTAATGGTCATATTTTTGATAATATTTACTCCATTGAGAGAAAATGTTTAAATGTAAAAAATTAATAGCAAAGCATTTCATAATATTGTTATTCTTTATTGCATTCTCTGTACTTGGCGTCTACAAAATCTTACAAACTATAATCTTCGAGGAATGTAATAAAAACTGCGAAAAAAATGTTATGAAAATCCAGTGAGAACATAGTATCAGAAATGATATTAATTAAAGATTCATGTTTAATAATATGCGGCAATATTTTTACACACTTATATTAAAATGTTTCTTGCTGTGTTATATTATTCACTTATATTACTATCGTGATAACAAGTCACAAGAGAGATAAAAAAGGTGACTGCTCACAAAAACGAAACGGCGAAAATGTTGCTGAAAAAACTGAATATAGTTAAAAAGTGGACAACATCAAAGTGAATTTCGCACGCGGAAGGATACCACTGGAGAATGATATTTCTTTGTTTATGAGATGTTTTCATCGCGCCCTAAAAAACTTGAACTTTAAAAAGTTGAAGTAAAAATCTAATAAAAATTAATATTCAATCTAAAATTCTCAGATACATAAAATGTATAGTCGATATCACTGTTCACTTCTCATCTAAAATAAAAATCTCAGATTTTATAATAATAAGAGTAATAATAATAGTAATAATAATAATTGAGTTGTAATAGCACACCATTCAGTAGTACCGTCGCTCACGATATCTGCGCGTATCTCACGCCTTGAACGTGGCACAGATGGAGTTAGATATTATTACAAGGTTTCGAGTTGATTGTGCTTAAATTATACATTTCGAGATTCGTAATCCCGTTTGCTCGTTAACCACGGTAGTTTGCATGTGTGTCAAGGACAAAGTTTACTTCGTATCGCGCAATTATATATTACTGGTCCACAGAATGTAGTTTTTGACTATTTTTGCAGCTGATCAATTTGCATGATAAGAAAAGTAAACTCCGATTGAGTAAGTTCGCATGATGTCGTGTAAAAGAAACTTTTAATTATGTCATATAAATTAAGAATTATTAAAAATGTGTAAATAGTACAATACAGTGGAAAAAATTAATATGTTTACTGTAGAAAATATCGTGTAATATTTCAATAAATTTGTTATCATTTTGGAGGAAAGAGTCGTAAATGCAATATGTAAAATAAATATCGTTGAAATGAGAAACCAAACATGTCGGAAAAGAGATACCAAGTGTGCCGGAGAGTCACGCACCTTGACAAAGTAATCTCGCTTTATAGTACACATAAACTGAATACTTGAGCGGAATGCACTCCAACGGATTATAAATCACCGTCACGGGTGAGATTCATTCCGATGGCAGTTATACATATTAACAGAAATGAAAACGAGATGTCACGTAACATTCGATTCCTGTCTCGATTCCGTCCCGAATAAATAAAAATGTTATGTGCCTTCTTGACAATCTCTTTTTTTCATTTCGGAATCACTACAAAAATATATAAAATATACATAATACATATAAATTCGTTAATTAAATACACATAGATAAAATAGCAATCACGATTTGTCGAATCCGTATTATATGATTATAATCGAGTTCTCTTGTGTTTTTATTTCTATCGTTATATAATTTTTGCGAGACTTATAATAATCACCACAGATCTTATTTTCTATAATCTCTGATATCCTTGCGATAAAGAAATATGTACAAAGAAATACAAAGTAAAGTGCGTAAACGTTCCTCTATTTTTAACAAGCAGTTTCCTAGCTTGGAATGAAGTCCTTCGAGCAGATTAAATCGATTTCAGAAAAATATCAAATAAATGAAATGGAAGTGATCGATTGCATCAAATCCGATAGCCACTGTGTAAATGTAAATTCTCAATCGTTCTCTTCTTCTATATACAGGTAGCTAGTCACATTCTTTCGACGTGTGCAAATCGTCCTCGATCGCTTTGACTCGAACGAATTCAATTTCCCGGCCTGATTTCACGTGTCAATTCTGTCTTTGCCCCTGTATCACGTAAATGAGTATTCCTAATCGAAATAATTAATGTACACTTCGTATATCAACGATAATGAGACCAGTTATAAATGATAAGATCATATTGACTATTTGCATAGAATTTCCTTGACGAAGAGCTACGTCGTGTCTCCCGAGTATCGCGGTACATGATAATGAATGAATGTTAGCCAAAATTTCGTTAAAAGGAAGAGATGATAGGCACGCTGGTCACATATACGCTGACAACGATTGATTAGGGTCATCCCCGCGGCAACCGATGGACAAACACAAATAAACCGGAGGACACTCTGAAGCCGTCTGCGAACCGACCTGTCAGTAGATAGCTGACCGCTTTCTAAGCGTAATATCCACTTTGAATTTCCAGTCGTGTATGGCGGATCCGAAAAGAATTCCCCTGGGAGGAAGTTTCCTCGACGATGCCATAACAGCAGCGGCTACCATCGAGGTTTCCACCCTCGAGTCGTAACTGGACCGCGAAGGCCGTGCCTGCAGTCCGGCGTCCTAGTTCCACACACGACACTTTGCTTCGAGACCGTATAACGATATTAAGCTCAATATAGACGCAGTTACAGTTAATCTCACAGAGGACTATTGCCGAGTTCCCTTAAAGCGACGAACTTTTGCGCCATCAACAAACTGAAACTGAATGCACTTTCAATGTTCCTCGCTCGAGGACGAGCGAAAGAACGCCAATAAGTGATATTGCGCAACGCTCGAAGCTTCGATTCGTATCGAAAATATCTTCCGCGTTCAGACCTTCGAGTTGATTACCTTTACCATTTTCCTTCGAATCCTACTCGCTCGAAGCTCTCAGATATTCGGAAGACGCCCACTCGCTCGCAATCATGATATCCGATTGTTGTATCGCCAAGATTTATATGCTGTACGTTCTATCGACAACTTTTATGGTCCACGGAGTAGAAGACACGACAGATGGTCATACACAGAAACCGACTCAATCGAGACCGGTGAATGTTTGTAAGTTTCATTTGTGGAAGTTTAATTGGAAAATCTTGCGTGGCGCGCGATAACCATATAATATATGCGATCGATACACAATGACGTATTGTTACTGGCAGCATCTCTATGTCGTTGAAAGAGGAAACAAATCCACACTCTATGCACATATGAAAGAAAAGATTCCATTTGCGAAGGCGAGAACAGCTTTTTAGGCCAGTCCATTACGCTTTTCAAGCGATCCAATGCGCGATAACTGCTTTTGTCTCACAGCGCATGGTTGTAGTTTCTCATTAACGATTCGAGTTATTTAAGGCAGTAGAACACCCTAAGGTGTTACGTCTTAAGATTAATCGTCTGACTTGGTTTTGCTTTCTCTTTTTTTCTTGCATGCCACGTCGCGTCGGCGCAATGCTTTTTCCCCAATTAGTTATAATTAATGGTTGGAAGAATGAAGTGGCGAATGTAAGCGTGATCAGAGCTTTGAAGACTCTCGGAGAGAAGTATTCGGGTCACCTGGGCAAAGTGTGGTCCGTACAAATCAACGAGAGCGATTCCACCGAGAGTCTCGAGATTATATGCAACGCATGGAGCTCGGCTATCAGTAAAGGCGGTGCGACCGTACCGGATCTGATTCTGGATATGACGATGGCCGACCTGGGTGCCGAAGCTTCGAGTTCGTTCACCGCGGCCATGGGGGTTCCGACTTTATCCGCTCAATTTGGTCAGGAGGGCGATATTCGCTACTGGAGAGACCTGGACCTTGATCAAAAAAACTACTTGATCCAGGTATCATGTCCAATTGCCTGTCCTGATAAAAGTCCTGGCAGCGAAAGACACTCTACTGAAAAAAATCACGTCACACAATTGCATAATGAAATCATGTAATTAAAACGCAAATCATGTAACGGATTGTTCCAAATCAGTACGTGATTTTTTTAATTAAGTAATCTGAAAGGTCACATAATATGTTCGTTTTTCTTCTATTTCTATCATTCAATTTTTTAAATTGGACAATAATAAAATCACATGATGAATGAAATTATTTCTAATTTCATGTGATTTTTCAAATTACGTCATTTAAAAAAATTACGTACTAATTTGGAACTCGTTACGTAATTTACATGATTTCATCATATATCGTTGTGACATGATTTTGTTCAGTAGGGCATCTTGTAAAAATATATACTCAATTAAACAATGAAGGTCTGAAATAACACTCAAGTTGAGTGTTTATCTTCAAGTTGAAGGTTTATTTGGGAGTCAACACTTAATTTAAGTCATTTCGGACCGCCCCTGTTAAATTGAATGTATGTTTTCATAAGAAATAGCGTATTCACTAATACACATGATTATATAACGTGAAATATATTCAACCTGCTTTGACTAGTACACTATAATTTTATATATCTTTGGTATCTATAGATTTGTGGTATATCAATTTACATGGAATTGTTTCAGTACCAAAGATCCAAGCTTAACCGCTTAGCCTTTATTTCTTAATTATTGTGCGTTCAGACCGTGGTTTAATATAATGTTTTAATATTATTTATATATCTTGTTTTGTATAGATCAGAAATGCAAGTATGCATTTGTAAATTCCAAGTCAGAATTATCCAAAAAAAAGAAATCTATAATAGTCTGTGTTCTTGTTGTACGAAATTCTTTAGACGTTCTTCAGATATTTTTGCAGTTTCTCGTAGTTCGGTATTCATTTCAGGTAATGCCACCGAATGACCTTGTGCCTGAAGCAATCCGTCAATTGGCAATTCAGATGAACATCACCAATGCTGGCATCCTCTACGACAAAAAAGACTTCATCATGATCCACAAGTATAAAAGTTTACTGCTAAATGTACCGACTAGACATGTCATTAACGATTTGCAAAATACGGTCGATAATGTAAAGGAGCAATTAACAAAATTACGAGACTTGGACGTGGTAAACTATTTCCTACTCGGCGACGAAGATTCTATCAACAAGCTATTGAATGTTGGGAACTCATTGAGCTTCACCGGACGAAAGTACGGTTGGTTCATTTTGACTCTGAACGAAGAAATGTGGCCGAGCTGCGCGTGTGAGAACATTACCATATTGTTGCTGAAACCGGAAATGCCGACGGTGAGCAATGAAAATCAAGCAGAATCTGTTATAAGGGCGAACTTGCCGAAACCGCTCATCACATCCGCCTTTTATTACGATTTAACTCTATTGGGTGTCAGCGCGATGAAATCCGCTTTGGACAATGGTGACTGGCCCTTGGAACCCTCTCACATCAACTGCAATAGCTATGATGAGACGAACACGCCGACGAGGGGTCTGGATTTCCTAGCTAAACTGATGGCAGTCTCAAAGAATATGACGCCAACATACGCTAGTATTAGTTGGGGAAAGAAAAATGGAGAACATCATATGGACTTTAAAATGATCATGTACATGATAAATATTGAACGAGAAAAGATTACGATGAAAGAGGAGAGCGGAGATTGGCAGGCGGGCATCGAGATGCCCTTGCAGGTAAGTCCCAGTGCTTGAAATGAGACGTAACATGTTACGTGAAAATGTTGAAGGGCGTGGATATTAATAGATATACAAGGACGTAGCCAAGGGAGGGCAGAGGGGATGCGTCCTCCTCCTTAAATTTTAAAAAGCAGAAATAATTAAGACCGCCTAAGCGGATTATGCTTAATGAGTATTCTTAAGAAATTAATTTTAGAAAAAAAAAAAAAGAATTGGTGATGGAAGTTATAAAGAGATTTTCGAAGAATTCAAGACGGCTAGTGTTATAAATTTAAATTTTTCCAGTTCGAACAATCAGTTTGCAATTTAAAAAAAAAATAAAGTAAATTAGTAAATTAAATATATGTACTTTACCTGTTAGTAATTAATTAAAAATAATAATATAAACAAAATAATAAAAGTTATATAATACTTATCAGAGCCAATACAAGTTGTTAAAATGTGTAAACATTCTTTTATTACAATATCTTAGCAAATTTGATATACGTTTCGACCCTTCGATTTGGGTCATTGACAAACATTAATATGTAATGTAAAATATAAAATAAAATTCTACCGTCGTGTTTATCTAATTTCCAAATTAATAAAATCAATGCGGTGATAAATATAATTTTTACCATTCGAATTAGTCAACGTAATCCTCAAATTGACAAATTAGATAATAAACGTTGAAATGAGAACAGATCTCGTGATCTCGACTGTTAAAAAAAAAATACACAATGAGAGAGAGAGAGAGAGAGAGAGAGAGAGAGAGAGAGAATAAGTCCAATAAATAATTTATACCACTCGACACCTTCCCTTCTTTGGGTTCAAAAGATTCAACTCTAATTTGACTCTCTTCTCCCTCCACCTAAATAAAATCCTGGCTACATCCATGGATATATATTAACTTCCTAATTATTCGTAGTCCATTTGATAAAATCAATTGCTGCAAAAATAAAGGGATTCCATACGTCACATGTAATTTTCTTTCTATTTACTATGTTTTCAATATTGCGGCTTCTTCGATTTTTCTTCCAATTCTCGAGTAGCCATGTACCCAAGGATTATTGATCACGCTTGACCGTCGTGCCTGACTGAGTGACGTTTAGGCGATCGATGGTTCATGTATTTCTTTTCTCATTTATATTATACTACCCTCTTATATGGATAGATTTGGAAACTGCAACTCGCAAAAACAACGAATTGACTATAATATTAAATTATGACTGTATCAAACTTGTTGTCGAAATTTATTGAGCTCTTCTTGGATATTCATTTGTTTACGAGTCGTGTTTAATCTGGATTGCATTCGTATGATAACTGGCAAATAAATAGCGCTGAAACTCGAGTTTACTTTTAAGCCGATTTTGCATTAAACTGACTTCCCGCAAAGAGTATTAACAAATACATAAATATATCGTAATATTATAATATGAGATATTCGTTAAAAAGGATGCAATTCTGTTGAAACAAGAAAGAAATTCCTTCAACATAAGCTGTTTTTTCATTAATATCTTGCCGTCATATCTGCCACGCTGTCATTCCCTAATGATGCTCGCTTATCTGTCCTGGGAAAAGTTCAAGGTGGCAAAAGCGTATGGTCGTGTATACTTTTATTTACTCGAGCATCATATCGTGCCATGTAAGCGTCACGAAAGTACACCCCTATTGCGCATTTAGTTTCACTCATTTCATACTTCGCATTTTTATATACTCTTCAAAGTCCCAGAGGTAATTCGACAATTGTCATTCTGTGTTGATTTTAAGTTCCGTAATTTTTCACCTATCGAGAAAATTTCCGTTCTGCGAAGGTCACCAACGAGAAGATCATGAATAACACCGCAGTGACGAGCTATAGAGTGGTTGTTGTGCAACATCCACCTTTCATAATGTATGATAATAAAACTAACAAATGGGAAGGGTTCTGCATCGACCTGCTAAATGCGATTTGTGAGACCGTGCCGTTCGAGTACGAGATACGCGAGGTGGAGGATGGCGAATACGGCACGTTGAACGAGAATGGTAGCTGGAACGGAATGATAAAGCAGCTGGTAGACAAACGCGCCGACATCGCCCTGAGCTCGCTCTGGGTCATGGCAGAACGGGAAAAAGTAGTCGACTTCACGGTACCCTTTTACGATTTGGTCGGCCTGTCGATTATGATGCAGAAAACAAAGACGTCGACGTCGCTCTTCAAGTTTCTCACGGTGCTGGAGAACAATGTCTGGTTCTGCATACTGGCGGCGTACTTCTTCACCAGCTTCCTTATGTGGCTGTTCGACCGTTGGTCGCCGTACAGTTACCAAAATAATCGTGACAAGTATAAGGACGACGAGGAGAAAAGGGAGTTTAATCTCAGGGAGTGCTTCTGGTTTTGTATGACATCCTTGACTCCTCAGGGTGGCGGAGAGGCGCCGAAAAATTTATCGGGAAGATTGGTAGCGGCTACATGGTGGCTTTTTGGATTCATCATTATCGCATCCTACACGGCTAACTTGGCGGCTTTCCTTACAGTGTCCAGGTTGGAAATACCTATAGAGAACTTGGACGATCTAAGCAAACAGTATAAAATACAATATGCTCCTATCAGAAACTCGCCAGCGTATTCTTACTTCCAGAGGATGGCAAACATCGAGACGCGTTTTTACGAGTAAGTGATTGTTTCTCAGATCTTTTTGTGCGCGAGTCTTCTAAACATATTTTACATTATCACAGGATTTGGAAAGATATGAGCCTGAACGATAGCTTGTCGGACGTAGAAAGAGCGAAACTAGCCGTCTGGGATTATCCTGTGAGTGATAAATATACAAAAATGTTCCAAGCGATGAAAGAGACCGGCTTTCCGGCTGATATCGATGAAGCACTAAGGCGAATTCGACAGAAGGATGAGTACGTGAATAACGAATTCGCTTTTATCGAAGACGCTTCGACTATCAAGTATCTTGTCATGACAAATTGCGATCTGACCCAAATCGGAGAGGAATTTTCAAGGAAACCGTACGCTATCGCCGTCCAACAAGGATCACCGCTGAAGGATCAATTTAACAACGCGTACGTATGAAAACGTTTATCTTTTTGTCGTAAAAAACGTTCTTTAAATCAGTCTTTTCTTGTAGGATTCTCATACTGTTGAACAAGAGGAGATTGGAGAAGATGAAGGACCGATGGTGGAAGTACAATCCCATCAGAAAGAGCTGTGACCTAAAAAGTGATCAGAGCGACGGCATTAGTATTTACAATATCGGCGGTGTGTTTCTCGTAATCTTCGTGGGCATCATTTTCGCTTGCCTCACGTTAGCCTTTGAGTATTGGTATTATCAACACCATGCAAAAGTTACCGAATTAAATCAAGCTACGCCCTCAAAAATGAAAATGACGAAGACAATTAAGCCGATGCGGTTTAATTTGCATCCTGCCCCTACACACGGGTTTCAAACAATCTCGCAAATTAGATCGAGATTTTGAGTTGCAATTATCAGGAAGGATTCGTTTGTAGAATATAGAGAATAAGTATAAAGCTGTCGCACAAAGGAATAAAAGCGATTCTAGACGACCGTGTCAATTTTGTATATTAATAAGATATTAGATACAATTCATGAACAGATTCATGAATTTTTATATCAGTGTGATGCACAGTAAAGCAATTATATGGTAACATTTTCATAAAATTCATTTGCATGTTTTAAACATATTCTGCGATAGATACTTGTGATTCTAGGCAACTTTAAAGAAAAGAGTAATTGTGGAATTCTTGGGTAGAGAGAAAGAGATAAATAAATGCATGGAAATGGAAGATTTAAAATTCACGTACAATTTTCATTTTTGTAATGCCTTTATTTACCCTTTCCGTACATTATTTCGCCAAAAGACGAAGAACGTCTTTTTTTTCTTTTTTTTTTACATTGCATATATTCCTTTCACGTTATTTCCTAAAGACAGAGTTGTTTATAAGTGACACATTCCTTCGACGCATTAACATCATTCAACATTCGTTTCAAAGGCATCTGCATGCTAAAGTAACATTTTTTGTATTTTTTTCGCATACCTTATGCAAGGTAAGCGTGTGTTTTCAAATACACGATTTTTTTTTTACACGTATGTTCTCAGTTATTCGATTTTCTTAGGGTGAGCACAGGGAAAGTAATGGATACAAGGATATTTGGAACGTGGGAGAAGGAAAGGACTCTGGAAGGGGGATATATTAATCTTCTAGGGAGTTAAATCATAATTATAGGGGAATACGATTAAGATAATCCATTAATAATTACGAAAAACAACAAGAAAATAGAACAGCACTTTAATTAAATACCCGATCTGCAATCGTGCGGCGTTCAAAATAAGTACTCAACTGTCCTTTTTAATTTGTTTCTGATTCGTAACTTTCGTTTCACTTTTTTCTCTTTTTCTTTTCGATATGAATCGGATAAGTAGATACTCTTAGCCTGCACGTCGGGTGAGAAACAAAATTGCTTGCTATAATTTTCTACAAAATCAGCGTATCTAAGCTCTCTCCTCAAAAATCACAAAGTAATCAACAACCTACAACTGAAATAGCGTGGACTACATCTTCAACGTTCTTGCAACGTGAAACGCTGAGTGTAACATATATACTTTTTTTCTTTTTTTGTGTTCCTTTCCTCTTTACTCTCTCTCATCAAAGGGTTAATATTAATTACCTAAATGAATAGTTAATATTCTCGTGTTTCGCTTTGTTTCGATTGCATGTTGCTTATTACGAGTGACGATGGGGTTTACTCGTGCCTTCTTGGATACATGCATAACAAATTCCACATGCCAAGAGGACCCCCATTCACAATCCTATCAATCGCTTTTTTATCTTGCGAAAAAAAAGTATAGCTAAACCTCAAATCTCCAGTCATATAGTGTATTAGCAGCTTACATTATCCGGTTCACAAGGTCAACGGACGCAAAGTCGTCAGTGGCTGGCATCCGAAGCTGCTACTGTGCCTTCTATCGGAAAAAAGATATCATGTATATAATTAGATACAATAGCAATATGACAAAACTAAATTGTGCCGTAAAATTTTTATCCGGACAATATATTTTGGAATTATAATTAAGCCTAAGACATATATTGTAGCAAAATTATTGCTGTAATATTTCGTTTGTTTTTAGCATTTTTCAATCATTAAACATTTTAATTATTGTATTTTTTTCTAAAGAAAAACTAATTCCAATTTTTTTTTAAGAATTAAAGTCATTCGAATATTTTCCTAGGAGAAATTGATAAATAAAAATAGACATATATTTTAATTGTTTCCATTAAAGTTTCACTTAGAAGAAATCACACATATATCAATATTTATTTTTGGTATATAAATCTAAATACCGACCTTTTTTTTTTCTCTTATCTTATACAATTGTAGATAGGTAATACATGCTACTGCAAATCTCGTATTTGAATCTGACAATGCTGATTTCTCACCCATTTAATAAAAAAAATTGATTAGTCTAAAGTCGTGCTTCTCCAGTTTGCAATATTGTATTCTCTTATGTGATGCGATATTATACATTCTGTTAACTGCACACGCATGCAATGTTGCGTGTTTTAACGATGTTTATTACCTTTTTCTATCATTGTGCAGAGGTACACTCGATTGTACCCAACCAAGTTGATCCAAAGCAAAAGAATCTTTTTCGATATTTTCTTGTTCTTGTAAAACGGCATCTTCAGCTCCGACTGGAGAATAGCGAAAATGATCTTGTTCGGAGAGAATGCGACGTTTGACTGGAGATCGTACGGGCTCAGTTTGAACGCTCTTGTCGCACTGACGTACCCGAAACTTTAGCGTTAAATTCGTAGACGCGGGCAATGCTACCGTGTCATTCTCCCGGTACTCCATATAAGGGCTTTCTCCGCCAGGAAGATACAGTAAGTTTCCTGACTCAGATCTGCGATAAGCGACGCGTTCTACTGTATTATTCACAGGAAACGTCGTGCCATCTGCCCAGTGACCATCGTCCTTTATTGGACGAAAGTGAGTACGTGCGGAAGTCAATAGATCCTCGTCTGGTTCTGGAAGGCTGTTTACCTTCAGACTCGAACGAGATTCCTTGCAAACTCCAAGCGGAGTTTTAGTTGATGCTACTGGAAAGAAACAGTCACCTGTCTCAGCATTGGGACAATACAAGTTTGTAGATAAGTTACGGTTAAATTCTCTCCAGCACCAGGGTCCATCCGAAAACGAATCTAACCAACTTATATTGTAATCTGCAATGAATTACTAATATAAAAATCTAAGCTATATAATAAGAAAATTTAAAATCTAAAATTTTTCAATTATAAATATTATTTTGATATAAATCTTAAATTTTAATATATTGTATCATGAATTTATATCTAACCTGTTTTATCTTTATTGCTACATTCATCTGCATTATCTTCAATGCTGATTAGATCAATATCCCATGGAATAAGCGGTGATTCGTCAATAATTGATTCTTGATTTGGTGTGTCAGTAGCGTAGCCATTATCTGAAGTGGGTAAGGTGAAGATTGTTCTGGTAGTGTCTGTGGGCCAAAGAGGTCCAGAAGGAATAGAAAGTGTCGGAGCTGCCCATATTGAGGATGTGTCCTGTGCATTGCCTGGTACTGAATTCCAAAGTGCTTCTAAGCTCTCAAACTTCGCTTTTAATTGTGCTAATCTTAACTGATCGAGTTCCTTTTCCCTTTCTCGTTCCATTGATTTAGCAAATCCAAAGCTTTCTTTATCTTCTGATCTCTGTGATTCGATGTTCTGGAAAAGAAAGAAAAAAAAATACAGTTTATCATATTGATAACTACACGAAATTTAAAAAGAGTAAAAGAAAATATTATAATACATACGATAGACATTTTAGTCTTCTTATTTCGAGTACTTTTATTTTTATTGTGCAAATTAATTTCGTAGTTTTTATTGTTGTTGCTGTTGGCAAAGTTTCTATCTTTCTGTGGTGAAGTCTTTATGAAAGATACAGATTGCAAAGCTGGAAATGCTGCGTAGTATCGCAGAGCCTTGTCACGAAGTGTGAGTGCTTCTAAATTTGTTTTGGGTTCATCACAAGAGTTCTCGGATTCTTCTCTTTCATCATATGAGCCCCCTTCTAATTCTTTCAGTTTTATGCACAGTTCATCAACTAGAGCATCTACTCCGTATTTCTATGTACACGGAAAATATTTTTTAAATATATTATTATTATGTAATTTATTATGTAATTTATATTATTATGTAATGTAAATTATTAGAAAAGAAGCTAGGAATTTTATATATTCCTTGTAAAAATTATATTTAAAACTTACGTCATCAGCAGCATTTGTCAGACATTGCACAACAGCTTGTCGTTGTTCCCCGTTACCATGCGTTGGCAGCTTTGCTTTAGGTCGGGCACGTATGCGACATCCTGTGTCTTTACCCAACTCAATTGCCTCTTCTGGAGGACTTAGGGCCGAGTCGGGGCGGCGCAATAGGCTGAGTACAAATCGCGAGTACGCAACTGGGTCAACCCCCAATGCGTCCAGGCGAGTCTCAAGCCACTGGCGCAACTCCTCCTCGGCCCTCGAGCCAAAGACTTCGCCTCCTCCAGGGGACGTCGCTATCCCGACCGAATGCAAGGCTGGATTCCTCATTCCCTCTTAATAGATTTCCTCCTAGACCCAGGAACTCTAACCAACTTCACTATCTCCAGGGTGATCATCTCTCCTATAAGATTAGAGTCACATTTTTATTATAATTTTTATTGAATCATCATGTTTACTGTTATTAGGGAAAAATGCGCCAAGATTATTTAAAATCTGTGAAAGGTCAAACTCACCTATGTACAGTACAGTATTACGATATTTTTATTGTCGTTAAATGTTTCAATTTTATGTAATCCACCACTACGTCGTCCGAACTAATCAACAGACTTATCGGACGTTTTTCCGTAATTCTTATTTTGAATTTTTCACATCAAGTTACTCAATTGTCCAGAAATATTACTAATGTTTCGTAAAATTTTTTTTAGTAATCTTGTTTAAAAATTCTTTAGTTTTTGTGCATGGGTGGTGGATATATCATTGAAGTGAGGCTGGCAGGTCTTAGTGAAGGATAACAAGTATATTCTCCTTCCCATTTTGACTCTAAAAGTAACAAGTAAAAGCAGTATAAGTAATCGTTTCATTATAGGAACCGCATTAGTTCATTTATAAATAATATTTATAATGTGTTACACGTTCAAATAATATTTCGCTTTATTTATATGATTATACTCGTAATAAATATTATTTGATCTACAATACCCGTTACACGATAACATTCGATTACTATTGTAATCTATGCTAAAAAATTAAGTAACACGACAAAAGTAATATATAAATCTACCTTACTTGTATACTTTCACATTATCAGCATCACTTTAAATGTTCAAAATGTAAGTATAGGAAAGAAAAAAAAAAAATATATATATACACAAGAATTTAGTTTTAGTATTATTTAGTTATATGTAACATTTCGTTTTAACGTCTATTTGTATCTATTTAAAGAAATACAAGGGACGTCAAGTTAGTCAAATATACACATACGTATATGTATACATACGTATATATCCAACCTTTGCTAAACACTGTAATGTTCAAAACGAGAGATTGCATCAGCGCGCACAGGAGGTCGAGAGAAACAAAGACCAAGATCCAAACGGAATCGTACCGATCGTACAACGGACAGTGATATCGCACGCGCCCGAAACCATTGTGATCGTTGTTAAAGAAACGTGTTATCTATAGATAGTACGTGCGTACTCGAAAATTCTAAACGACGTACATCTCAGGTGTTGTCGCGGAGTCCCGAGTGATGAGAGAACGCGCGCCCAGGCCGAGAGGGGTAAATTTAGGCGAGGGACGCGACGACGACGCGCGGCCGCGTGTCCGCACTCCGCGCGCACGAGACGCTGCCAGCGGGGACCCTAATCGTCTACTCCGGGGTCCGGGGGGAGGTGTAACAACGCGAATAACCTTGCCGATTGCGCTATAGAATTTTGCCTGAGTCATAGCTCTCTGCCTGTGAACGAAGGCCCGTGCGTGACGACGTTACGAAATACGAGTCATCGACGGGCCGACGTGAGCCACGTCGTGATGTGCGGGCGTCCGCGATCGGATGCCCGCGCGTTTCATCGAAACGGTAAAAAAAAACAATACAGAGGATCCACAACATACCTGCATGCCTCGAGAGATGATTTTACACCCCGGCCTCTTCTACACACCCCACTCGGTAAAAAACATGGCGAGCTACTAAACCGAAGAGGACTCCACACTCCACACGCATACATACATACTCTCGGCTTCGATCACGGAGTTGGAAGTATTGTCAACGCCAACTTCACGCTAGTAACGGTGTTCTAACCTAACCTAACCATGACGTAGGTCCAGAGTCCAGGAATATAATTCGAGAATGACGCATCGACATCGCCTCGTGTCGTGATGATTGGTTAAAATCGTTAAAATCTTATCTACTTGAGCACTCACATCAAGGTATCGATTATATAACTTTTTTTTTTATAGAGCAGAAACGTGAAAAGTTAAATTTTTTATGTATGTATGTATGTATGTATGATTGGTATGATTTATCCAACGCGTATATACGTAGATTAAGCAAGTATTCTGTCTGCGATGTGAAGCCGGAAGTTCATGACCGAGGGAGGTAGTAGGTCTGTAATCTGTTTGCCTTCCTTACACTTTTTACACTCGGCATCTTTGCTTCCTCCCTTTTCAGCGCCAAATATATATCTTATTTTAAGTGTAAAAAGTGTAAACAAGAACAGACCTATTAATTTCAAACTGCAAGTTGAAATTTAACGTTCTTTATAGCAAACAATAACTTATGGTCCTCGGCTGGCCAATGTGTTTCAATAGATTTTCTCGTTTCAGTTTTTATAGTGACTGTACTATAGAAACAGTTATTTTATGTAAAATATAAAATTACATGCATCAATCGACGTGGTCTATTGGTAATAATAGGAAATACTCCAATGTAATACCTATACTATAGTTTTTTAATAGATTTTAATTTCTTGGAGATAAAATTGTATTAATTAATTGTAAACAAATACTTTCAAAATTGTTTATTGAATTTCCAAATTATTTAATTGGCGTATAACTGACAAACCGTTTATTTTTGATTTCAATCATTACAAGTTGTGTGGAACGTTACATTTTTTTCCATAAATATGACGTGTAATATGTGCAACAATTCAGTTATATTATAGGCCGGTATTCATAATCAATTATATTCAAGACTGTCTTAAGCCTTGAGATGTCACGAACCAATCAGAGAGCCGCATTAGCATCTTAAGATTACTTAGGCTACGTTCCACAATTTCCTCTCCGAGGAAAATTTTACTCGAAATATATAGTACACGTAACGTATACTATAGCTTAGAGTAAAATCTTCCTTGGAGAGGAATTTTTGGAATGTAGCCTTAAGATAGTCTTGAAATAAGAACTGACTATAAATACGGCTTATAAATTTGAAAACTATGGAAGTCGAAATATTTTTTATAGAAAATAATTTACGGCGCTTGGCCGGTTAATATGTTTTAATAGATATTATCGTATAAATTTTTATAACGAATTTACTATAGGTTGTCAATAATGTTCTATATGGAATTATATGCATTGAAATGCGGTCTTATGGCCGCAGCACAGGCTCCTGTATAACGCATAGTGCATAAGCGAATCAACCAATCAAATTCTTTCCTTTCCTGCCATTTCATCGGGCTTTAAGCGGGGAATACAGACTCTTGCATAACGTATAATACATGAGGCATAAGAAATTGAACCAATCAGAGTTCTTTATTTCATGGAAAGGAAGGAAATAAAAGACTTTGATTGGTTTATTTGCTTATGCATTATGTGTTATGCGTTATGCAAGAGTCTGCTCCCCGTTTTACACGCATTCTACAATAAGCCATTAGTCATAAATCAAAAGTCAGAAGCTAGAAATTGACCAATCACAGTCGTCAATTTCCAGCTTCTAATTTCTGACTAATAGCTTATTGTAAAATGGCCATTAGACGGGGAGCATAGATTCTTAGACCGGTATTCATAGGTTGGTATTCATAGTCGGTTCTTATTTTAAGACCGTCTTAAGTAATGTCTTAAATCGCTAATGCAGCCTTCTGATTGGTTCATGACATCTTAAGACTGTACTTAAGATTATCTTAAATATAAGATCCAACTATGAATACCAGCCATAGTCAGATCTTATATTCAAGACCGTCTTAAGAAGTCACGAACCAATCAGAAGGCTGCATTAGCGTCTTAAGACATTATTTAAAACGATCTTGAAATAAGATTCAACTATGAATACCGACCTCAAGGCCGCAGCACAGACTTTTGCATAACTTTTGTATAATGCATAGTGCATAAGCGAATCAACTAATCAGAATCTTTCCTTTCCTCCCATTCCATGGAAAAGAAGAATTTCGATTGGTTGATTTCCTTATGCATTATGCATTGTGCGTTATGCAAGTCTATGCTGCAGCCATTATGGCCGGTATTCACAATCATATCTTATATTCAAAACCGTTTTAAGTACAGCCTTAAGAAGTCACGAATTAATTAGAAGGCCGTATTAGCGTCTTAAAATATTACTTAAGATAGTCTTGAAATAAGAATGGATAATGAATATCCGCCCTATGCTCCTCAAAAGAAAAGCAGTCAAAAGTTTTTTAACATACACTTGGCTGCGTTCAGAATTATCATCTGGGTGCACCCAGATGTTCTTTTATCCTTGTTTAACATTCGTGAACAACAAGAATAAAACGATATCTGGGTGCATCCGGACGAGAATTCTGAACGCAGCCCTTGTGAACCGTTATAAACCTTTCCTCGATAAATTTCGGAACGCATAGATATTTTAAAAGTTCCTGTTCACAAGCATGCGCGCTGAAAGCTATACGAGCCACCGAAGTTGTGTGTTTATATAAAACTTTGTATATGTATTGTACGATATAAAGCATTTTGAAATTATTTTAACACTATTTTTTATGATTAAAAAAGTGTCAAAATTATCAGGAGAATAATTGTATTTAGAAAAAAAAATTATTTGAATTAGACTTTCACTTAATTAGCGTGTAAAAAGTTTTGATTTATTCTTCGATGTCGCAATGATTTTCACTTTTTACTATATTTCAAACTGAAACTGAAAAGGGCTTTTAACTTTTTTATGCAAATATAACATCCTTATAACAATACTAAAAAAACATTTTTTAGCGCGCATTCACAAAAATCATTTTAATTATACACTTAGTTTATTTATACGCTTTATTTGATGTATCAGAAAAGTGCATAAAAATAGCATAGCCAATAAAAACATTGTTATACAATATTTTATTGTTTAACATTTGAAAATCCGACTACAAATTATCGCTTTATAAAGATTTAATGGAAACTCTCAGAAGATTTCACAAGATTACTCTAGATGGCAGCATGATGTTTAAATTGAACATTACTATAAAAGTATGAATTCCCTCATTTTAGATAAATACACATCAACGTCCTTATTAATAAATATTAATGTCTTATATATTCAATTGAAAAAAGTATACGATATGTAATATATTTTTGCATATATGAGTACGCTAGCGAACGCTGCAATATACATATACGATAAAAATTGCGTGCATTACATATTTAATATATAGGTGTATAAAATATGTAATAAATAGCATAATAAAATAACACATCACGTATAATAAAGATATACGAATATATACATATGTGTATATGTGATATATACACGAAGATATAATATATGATTTTTTTTTTTGTAAAAAGACAGAATGATTATTTTTCGTTCAGTTTAACGCATGAAACTCCAAATAAGATCAGAAAAGAAAGCCTGATAAGTTCGAGCGTAACATTACAATAACGTATTCCATGAACTGAAATGTTATAATAATAATTTAAAGAGGTATCACGAAAATAGAATAATAATAAAGTTCCTCAAATTTTTAATATTCATTTATGAGGTTAAATTTAATTAGCGTGAATGATCTCGTTCATTTTATTAACAGCTTTGTGCTAAAAATATGAAGATAGCATTATCTTGCAGTAAATAAGATGATCACCCTGAGGATAACGAAGTTGATGCTTGGAGCTTAGAGTTCTTAGATCTAGAAAAAGATCCATTAAGAGAGAGAAAAACAGTTCAGTTTTTTTCTTTCTTTTAATGGATATTTGTTCTTCCTACCGTTTCCATTTTCTAGAGGTATTTTCTTTCTTATTTTTTTATTCTTATATTTCGATATATAGAGAGATAACTTATAAAAAGAAAACTTATATTTATTGCAGACTTAGACTCTGATTTTTTTTCGATGAATCTCTTCATATATATGTAATAATTATTTCATTGGGATTATTTAAAAAACGGGGTACTCCACACAATTTTAAATCTGAAGAATCAATTCAATAGAATAGATCCATTAATTATCCTTCACGTTTAATAGCTTGACGTTGGAAATCATTCAATATGCCATTCAGCGTCTTATATGAAGCGAAAATTGTCATGTTTCTATTTAGAACAGGAATGGAATAGAGTGGAAATATTGCGATTTATGGTACGTCCCATTTGCAAAATTTTTACTTTTTAATGCGAAACAAAATTAAAAGCGTCGCGTAAGCGTGATGCGATTAATCGACAATTTCAACAGTAAGATCTCTCGGGAGGGCAATAAAACGTCGAATTTTGACAAGAAAGAAAACGGAAGAAGCTCAAGTCGGCCGGTTTCTTGGCAACATTTCCGTGGCGGTGGATAAAAGAAATTGGGGAAACGAGGCGCCGACAATGTATAATCTAATATCGAAGCGTAGATAAAAGCTTGGATTAAAAGCTGGAATTAAATCATTTCGGCCCTAGCGAATCCAGCGCGATATTAATCCACTGGCGCGCGTACACGTCGACTCCGTTGCACAGATCCATCCCCCTCAGGCTTTCTGCACCCCCCTCTGTCTTCCCCTCGCTGCCCGTACCGCCCGGGTTCGCGGAGGTTAGTCGCTTCTCCTGGGGAACCGTCCAAGAGCTGTGCTGTAGCGATAGGGTGCATGGGGGTTGCAACCCCGCGCACTGAACGAGGGACGAACGAGAGGCCGGGAGGAAGGGGGGAAGGGGAGGGGGAGCACGGCCGTGTAAGGGCGGTTTCACTGCTGCGCAACCGGCACGACGCAGACGTCAGTCGTTATATACCTGGTTCAACGACCACCGCCCTGCTCTCGTCCAACCCCGAAGTGCTCGGCCCGGCTCGAGGGGGATGCACGGAGCGGCACGGAGGGGAGGAAAACGCACTCGTGACGGGGAGGGTGAGAACGGG